TCATACCTGTTGGCAGATGATATGGAGCTTGATTTTGATGATGATGATGATGTTCCAGTATGGCGCTCCATTGTCGACAAGTATAGAGGAGGTGATCAGGTGCTACAGGGAGAAGCTGTGAAGATTACTCACCTGTTCAGGGATCAAAAGGACAATGAGAAGGCGACAGAAGCTTTCAGTTCAGAGAGGACAGATTTTTATGAGACCTCAGGACCTCTTCCAAGAACCGAGGGAGAAAATCTTGTAGAGGACTTGCTCACCAAGGATGTTGCAGAACAAGCTTTTGAAGCAGGTGAAGAAGTTCCTCCTTATACAAGAGTCTCCACTATCACTGGTGAAGTCTATACTGGAAGTAGAACACTTCTAGAAGATGAGAATATGGAAGAGGAAGTTCCTGAAGAAGATCCTGCAGTTGAACCTGGAAAGGAAGAAGAAATATTTGATGAAGATGCAGGTGTTTTTCCTTCAGAGGAACCAAAGATGGAAGTTGACCAGGAGGAAGCCAAGGAAGAGTCAACACCACACTTTCTGTCAAGAGAGATAGGTGAGGACTCGACTGCATCGCACTTACCATCAGGTGAGATGGATGCTAACCTTGATGATACTTCAGGTCAGCGGAAATCTAAGAAAAGCCGCCTGAATAAGATTCCTGATCCTCATTTTCATGAAGAAGTTCAGGATGATGCAACCATGGAAGAGAAGAAAGAGGCGGTGGAGAAGATAAAGGAGGTCAGAGAGGATGATGGAGAGAAGAAATTGGAGGCTGAAATCCAAGAATCTTTTCCATCTGAAGTAGTTGTTGAAAAGGATACAACAAAAGTTGACAATACCTATGAGTTGCACACTTCACCTTTAAAGTTGCTTGGAGAGCTTACAGGAGATCCAGGTATTGGCTTTTATCAACTATGCTTCAGGGAAACTCATGCAAGATTGCTGAATCATGTTTGTTTCAGAAAAGGTGAGATTTCCCATCCTCATTATCAGTCAAGGATCAACGAGAATGATTTTGTTCGATCCATTCGCAATATCTGTCCAGTACCTCCACCTGATTGTTATGAACATGAACCAGAGCATGATTTGAAGAGATTCTTCATCAATGATGACCGCATCATTTATTTGGATGGCAGGTATCAGGTCGATCCAAAGGCCCTTGAAAGGGCAGGTCATGCTCGAGAAGAATTGGAGGATACGAAAAAGGAACTCAAGAAGGAACTGGAATCATATGGTCCCAAGGGACCCAGTTGGGACTTTGTCACCTTCTATGAAGAGCTGTGCAGAAGGTTCCTCAAGGGAAGAATAGAAGAACCATATGGAACTAATTTATTGGCCAGCTCAGAGTCCTTGACATTTTTATCCTGGAACTATGGCAACATGGTTCGTGGTCAGAAGTACACCACACCAAGGTTTCTCCAAGGACTTGATAGTGCAATGAGGCCACGCAAACAGAGCGCCATGTCACTTCAGAATGAGCAATTTGAGAACAACCTTTTCTTCAACATGCTCTTCTTTTTACGTGCACATGTCGTGATTCTCCAGGAAGCTCATCTTCTTGTTCCTGCCAAGGAATTTATTGAGCAAAAGAATTGGACAGTTTGTTTCAATGATTGGGAGAATCTTGCAGTGATGGCTAGATTGGCACCAGGTGGATATGTCAAGATCATTGCTGGACATGACCAAGATCTTGGTCACTGTGAACAGCGTGATGTAACTTGGGCTATCTACGAGATTTGTTTTGGAGAAACAAGGCCTCGTCAAGATTTCAAGGATGCAGACTTTGAATTTGATGACTATGGTCCTGAGGACAAGCGTGTTCCACTTACTCGAGCGAACATGCATACCATCAGAGTCTGTAATTATCATGTTGATACACACCGTGCTGTGGATGCCCACCTACTGACAGGAGAACAGACAGCATTGATGCTTTACGAGTGTTTTGTCTATGAGGTGGACATCATTTCTGGTGATGCAAATAGTTTGGCCTACAGAATGTCTGGGTACAAAAGGCAGCCAATGGCTAACTACTATTACAGCACCATGCAGCATTGGATCCGCAGGTTTTCAGAAGCTCGTGTCAAAGCAGATCCGGGTATCAAAGCACCTAATCCCAGAACATTTTACAGTTCAACTTCACAGGTCCTCAAGAAGTGTGAAGATTACTTTGACAAACTCTGGGAAGAATATTCTACTGTTGAAAAAGAAGAATACCAAGGATCACAGCTTGGCGATACATGTTTGTCTACCATTGTTGAATGGGGTCATTCAATGAGTGAAGAGGAATATGAAAATTCCACAGTGAGCACGAAGGAGTTCATCTGTAATTTTTCAGAGAACTTTGCTATGATTGACACGGAGGTTATGTGCTCAAGGCCCACTGACGAGGACAGTCATGGTCCAATGTTTATTTCACTCAGACCAGCTTCCTTTTCATCTGGAGACAGAAAACAGTATCGCATGGGACCAACTCTTCATGAGGCGAACTTGCGGAGGAAGGAGAGACAAAAGCAGAATAAAAGGAAAGGAAGGCCGCCAACTTCTGATCAAGCAACTTCATCGTTTGCAGCGGCATAATTCCTGAGCGAAGGCTGAAATTTAAATGATGGCTAGGAAGTGAAGATACTTCTGGTTACAGTTGATACTTTGCTTCCAGGCTTGACTTTAAGTTGCCAGGCTGAAGTTTTAATAAATTCTGGTTTGCAATGAGGAGAAACTTTTTATCAAAGAAGATACTCCTGCATTCCAGGTTTATACGCTTTAGCATGCAGATAGGTATGGACAGTTTTGCATAACCGATGATATCTATCACAGCCGCTTTTTCTGAGATGACCTCTAATGGACAACCATTCATGGTTGATGATTTAGTTTTGGCATAAGTCTGCATTTGTAGTGCAAGTTTTGTACATACATTTGCCGGTATCTCCTTCTTGTGTTTTTGATGTGAATGTGAAAGAGAGTCCTTTTGATGCAGTTTATTTTGTCTGTGAATGAAAGCGGTCGAGACCACGTCACGAGAAGATTATTCCTCGGACCGTACGCTCCTTGCATTTTGCAAGGCATCTTAATTCATTGCATTTTGCGGTCTTGAATTTTTAGTTCTTTGTTACGCGAGTGTCGTTTGATTCTTTTATAGGTCTCTGTAGAGAAAAAGCCGCTTTCCCTTTTAGTTTGATTTAGCTCAGGCCCTAAAGAGCTAGTGAGCGCCGGTACATGGTATCTTCGCCTGCGAAAAGTACAGTCTCCAGCCGAGGTACATTATCGATTTGATTTTGTACTTGAGGTGAGTCAGCTATTGCTCCCTCACTGTATTTAGTAGCTATGAGATTACCTTCTCTGAAGTGTGAAACACACTGGATTAGGTAAGTACATGGCACCGTAGTTTTCTTTTAAGTTGTCAGAGCTAGCTGGACTGATTTAGCCTTGCAGTAGAAAAAGAGTATGCGACATACGCAATCAGCTAGAAGTGGACATGAATCTTGTGCCTGCTGAAAAGTAGAGCCTACCTGTACAGGGTTCCACTCCAACAGCTGATATAAATATAGTGTGTCCATGCTTGACTGCTTCAAGGCTCAAAGAGCAAGAGGATAAGACTCTGCGCATAAAAGACACTAGCGGTCTGCACCTCTACCGTGTACGCCCTAGTCACTCTTTCACCCCCCCCCCTCCCCTCCCCTCCCCTCCGCCCCTCTCCCCTCCTCCCCTCTCCCCTCTCCCCACCCCACCTCCCCTCTCCTCCTCCTTGTCTTCCTCTTCCTCCCACCTTCCCTCCCTCCCTCCTCCCTCTTCGCAAGTTGGACTCCGTCCTGTCGTCGCTCTTTGGCATGCGGTTAGCGTTGCGTATCTTGCGGCCGCACTCGCTCACTGTCTCACTGTCTCACTGTCTCTCTCTCTCTCTCTCATCTCTCTCATCTCTCTCATCTCTTTCTCATCTCTCTCATCTCTCTCTCCTCTCTCTCTCTCTCTCCTCTCTGTCTCTCGTCTTTCCGTCTCTCTTCTCTCTCTTCTCTCGCAGGAGGATCCGGGCAAAGAGCCACATATAAAGGACTCTTCACCCCTGCCTCCAAAAAGAGCGCCGTGTTTTTTCCTACCTCGCTGCCCTCCACTTTCCCATTCTGGAGCGCTAGCTTTCGCCCCCCCCTTGGCCTCAAGTCGACTTGGTCCGAGGACAAACGGCGGATAGCTGCCGGGGGTCTAAGCTTGGGTGGCTGGGGTCGGGAGTCGGACTGCAGTATTTGGGCCGTTCCCGATTCAACAAAAAGCAGAAGTCCCGGCAAGTGATTGCGTTGTCAATTTTTCAGGCATGGTTTCTGGTTAATAATTGGTTTCACATTCCTGCTCGAGAAGCAGCCTCAGCAATCCAAGCCTGGGCCTAAATGAAACTATCAACCTGCTCGATAGAGCGCAGTACTGGCAGCGTTCAGCGCTGCCTAAGTAGTAGTGCTGGCATCCGGTGTCACCCAGTTTTTTGTTCCCTGTGGTAGTCTACGCTGGCAACTCTATATACAGACAATTAACATGGACAATGGAATCAAACCAGTACCTGAAAGTGGAACAATCATTTGTTTGTTTGTTCGCGATTTCTGTGCACGTGCAGGCCACCAACCAAACTCATTGTTGGGACACACGGTTCCTGCAATTCTCCACACTCTGGCCAGAAGCCGCTCAAGAATCCATGCGCGGTGGCCAGGCAGCATCAGTGACCCCCCTGGTGGTTTCAATATTGGACCATACCCATTCATATCCGTTCCATATTTCTCGATGTTCTCGCGAATTCTCGGTGGCTCAAAGGCTGAACCACAATTGGTGGTTTCGATGCTTCGTTATGCCCTCGAGTCTTTGACATGCTTGCAATGATCACATTGAGCTGGGCAAGATCACTGTCAATGTTGCTGTCAATAAGCTTTCTATGTGGACACAACATCTGCATTTTTCTCAAGGTTGCAGGGTTCCTTGAGCATAGACCTTGGTCTCAAGGTCTCAACATCAATTCACCAGTTCTTCTTGGCTGCTCGGCACGATTTAGTCTGCTCAGTCGTTGCCATGGACCCGCCGGCCGACGTGGAACGCGACGCCGAGAAGGGCGAGGAACCTGGCGAGTTACCTGTGGAGCAGCGCGAGCCAAGAGAGGCAGGGGTTTTGGTTGGTTCTGGGCTACCGTGGGGGGGTTCAAAAACATGCACTCAACCAACCTGGAATCATCTTCGAAAGGTGCCTGGAATCAAAACGTTTGCGAAAAGGATTCGACCATTTCAATCCATATATCACCGCTCGTCCCTATGTTCCAGGTGGTTCAAGAGCCGGGTTCCACGGGGGAGGGAAAGGCTTGGTTTGTTGCCCCTGCCGAGGCTGATGGTGCAGATGAGGTCGAGATCGAAGGCAGAGAAGCGTTGTGATCAAAGGTGTTGAGGGGATTCACCTGGATTGACTGGTTGATTTCATCCCTATATATCAATATAATATAAGTTATTTGGGGTTGCTTGCTTGGTGGCTTGCTGCCTGGAGGCCTGGAGTTGCTTTGTTATTCTGTCGCTTCAAAAGTCGAAGCGGATCAGGGCTCCTTAGGTTTGAACCTACAAAGCCTTGACTGGTGCGTGAAGCCCGAGGGGTGGTTTTGATCGAGGTCTTGGATGTTGGTGCCATCACCTTTAGAAGATACGGAATACGTGAAGGCATGTGATGATTAAGCGAGAGAAAGGGGCAGAGATGCTGAGCACGTGATTGGTCGACATGTTTCACTTGATTTGTGGGTAGGTTACGGTAGGTTTTATAGAAAAAGCGGGTAGGCTTCATAGAAAAACCAACATGTCTCACAGCAACTCGCGTATGTGTTCTTCCCCCAGGGCCGAATTGGGCAGGTGAGAAGAAGCGCAAACGGCCAGGCTGCGCTGCGAGGCGCCCGTTGCGGCCGTCCGTCCGAGCGGCGCTACCCGAGGGCGCACGGACCGAACTTCTTGTATACAACTCTTAGTTAATCAGCCCCCCAATCTGAGGAGGATGTTCCCATTCAATTGGAGGGGTGTAGACTCTAATCAAGAGTCTACATGATGTAGGCGCCAGGGCCCCAAATTCCTTCTGAGAAGGGTATGTGGAGGGCTACTCAGATGGAGATGTAAACCATTCTGGTAGAAGGGGCCACTATCGATTCATGTATTCAGGCCGACCTCTCCGGAGTTTTTGAGGCCCACTCCTTATGGTGGAGTGTTTTTTTCGGGCCGACCGGCTGACCTGGAACGTGTAGGTCTCTCCATGGGGACTGTGTTCTTGTGTCACTGGGTGGCAACCAGAAAGGAAAAGATCCTCCTAACCCACACTGCAAATGAAAGAACAAGACTGGCATCTAACCTAACCTGGTAGACCCTTGGGCAGGTGCCAAGCGCTTCCTTAGGTGGTGCGGCTTTGGATCCTAAAGAAGATGTCAACATGTGGCACTGTTATGTCCAAGTGGTTGGATTTAGATCACAATCTTCACCTGTGCACCCTGTTCATTGAACTGTTGGCACGTATGTTCCTTACAATTCAATCTCTTCCTTGTTCAATTTCGAGAGATTGGCCCTATGAGGGAAAAACACACAATTTCCTTACGTAAGCCAGTGGTGGCGTAAGTTCCTGTCCTTCTCGCGAAAAAGCGAGGCTAAAGAGCGTGGAGCAATGCTTGGACCGAAGCTAGGCTAAAAAGTTGGAGAGCCAGCGAAGGGTTTCACCAGTGCTTCGATATGGGGAAGTTGAAGTGGGCTATGTCCACTTGGGGTGCAAGCCATTCTTGCCTAAAGGATCCTAAAGGATCTCAAAGGTCACTGGCCACTTCTTGTGTTATTGGTGTCCCCCGTTTTGGTTTCCCAACAGTGATGAGAGGAAGCGGCATTTCAACACACACCCACACACACACACCACATCATTCACTCAAGGTATGGTCAAACTATGGATTCATGTTCCAGACATACCTGACATACCACTGATATGAAGGAATGCAACAGTAGTTATGGGTGACTTTCCCGCAATCTTGGGCTTGTTTTGCAATAGCACCCCTCATTTCGGAAGGGATGTTTGGAGGATTCCTCTTTGTGTATGAGTGGCTTTCGGGTGCAGGTGCCCACACACAACCGTCGAATTGGGAGGTGCTCATATTGGAATTTGGGATGTTGGCAGTCCATTGGGGCACAGAATGGCACTGTGCCCTACAACAGACTTATATAAACCGTGCGAATGCGGAGATGGACAATATCCTCAATTAATAGATGAAACATGGGGAAGGGTTCTCAAAAAGCCCACGGACGCCTCCCATGCTCGAAGCCATAAAGCTAGTCTTTAATCAGTTGGAATCTCAGTTGAGTCTCCCACCGTCAATACTTCCCTCATGGTCCACGTTCTTTTGTTGAAATGATAAATGGGACTGCCAAACGATGCAACGTGAATAGCCTTTTGAAACTGTTTGAATCGGTTCGACCTATTTGGGATGTGCATGCACGTCACAAAATTGTCTTCAAGGGCTGGGAGGTGAGTGTCTCCAATTTTAAAGGGCATGAAGATCCAAACATATTTCAATCGGATTTCCCTAAACGAGCAGCATTTCAGTCGGATGGGGGGTGTTTTGTAAACACACAAAAAAGTACCACTGCTTCAATATGTGTCGCACTGAGAATTGTCGGGTAAAGTCGTATTTGGGCACCCTCGATCAAGCAAAGATATATCCTTGCTCAGATTCTTCCAAGCCACTTCTTGCGCCGTCCTTGTTCAACTTACTTTCTTAGCAATCAAGCAGGGCATTTCCGACCAACATGTTTGGTTTTCCTCTAAAGAGTCTAAACATTAATTTATTGTAATATTATATAAATATGCATGTGTAAATTGTATAGTATTGTTTCTATGTATTGGTGGGCCTCGAGTCGGTGGTAGCTTTTGGATGCTACCGACAGGGGTGTTTCGCCGCCCAGGGCTGCCCTTCCCGCCGGGCGTTCCTCCCCTGCGGTGTGTGCGGCAGCCGGGCTGTTGCCAACGCACATGGGAGGCGCGAGTCTGGTGGGGAGCTGGCGGGACGGTTCATGGATCTCGGAGATTCCGCTCGTCCGGTTGGCCGCTAAATGGGTGATTGGCCAGGAATTGGCCAGTGAGGGGCCTCAAGAATGAAGACGGTACAAGGCTCTCCGTGCGCCCCAAGTGCCAGGGAGGGCGATCGTGCTGAAGCTCAGACAGGGAATCCCACAGGGCTCAGTCGGACTCGTCTCCGTCTCCCAGGCGAACCGAAGCTGCAGGCGTTGCGGGCGATGCTCGGATGGCAGAACGCTTGGAGGGGGAGGGTTACACCAGTACCATGGAAGGCTACTGTAGCTTGTATGCCCTCGTGGCTTCCAAATCATGGCATGACGCGATGATGATCTTTTAATGGTAAGTTTCCCGGCGGAGATGCAAAGAACCCCAAAAGCATACTAAGCATACGCTCAATCATGACAATCATGATTATTGTACTGCTGATTGGTGATTGGTGGTGAGTCGTGATCAGTGATGAGTATGTGTATATATATATAGTTATATTATATATATATAGAGAGAGAGAGAGTGAGTGACAATACAGGAGATCATGGTTATAGGATTCAGCTATGAGTAAGGGTGGTTGAATGTGGTTGATCATGTCAGCTGAAATTGGGCGGGTACTAAGCGGCTACTAAATGTGTTTTGGCAATGGAATGTTGCCTTTCAAGTTTGGTCCGGAAATTCAGAGTTGAGTGTGTGATTCTGTGATGCCACCCGGGCTTTCAGCAGCTGTTGCCCAAACAGTAGCCATGAAACTGACAGCTGTGCCGATGTTGTTCCTGACTGCTGTTGCAGCCAACTGGCGTGATGCAGTGCAAAGCGCTGCAAACATGGACTCCTGTGAGAAGAGCACGCTCCAAATGATCAAGGTTCAAATCGACAGCGAGGTGCTGGGCAAAATGGATGGCATGTCGTTGGTGAAGTTCGCTGGTGACTTGCAGCAGCACCGTCGCTTGCACGGTCTCCCAAAAGAAGTGTCTGACTTGCTGGACAAGAAGGCGAAGTCGATTGGCAAGGCAGGAGCTTCCATGTTGAAGGCGGAGACCACCCAAATGCTGCTGAAGGCTCGTCTATGACCTCGGTGCTGACGTGTTTTTGGTAGCCATTTGCTGTCGTTACTGTGGTGAACACCACGGTGCTGCGCTGGCAGTGTTTTTGTATGTTTTTGTTGAATCGTCACTGGCGAGTCGCAGCCAAAAAGAAAGCACCTTTGCTGCAGCATTCCCCAATATTCCTCCTGCAGGGGTCAACGCATGTGCGCAAGTGCTGTTAGCCCTGTAGTTTTCAGCAGAAGACTCCACCATAGAAAGTGTCGAAAGCAGTGTTATATATATATATATTTGCTCATTAAGTGATTGAATGTGATTGGCACTGTGGGAGCTTTGTGACGTTCATACCATGGTTGCTTTCCAACCATGACAAGCAAACGAAACACGAAGCTGCTAACTGACAAGAATGCCAGAGGATTGGGCCTTGCCATGGTCGGCACAAGGGTATGAAGACCTGAAGGGTTTTCCTTTGCCCAGCATGTGGCTCCTGGGTCACTGGTGTCATGGCTCCTGGGTCACTGGTGTCAGACTGAGGATTGGGATTTGGCATTTTTGGCAACTTCAGGCGGCTGGGATGCATTCAGAGACTGTGTGGGCAAGACTTAGGGAGTGGGGCAACGGTGGTCTCATAGGGTGTCCTTGTTGAAACTGTTTTCTTCATGCAAGGGAAGATGCCAATGTTAAAGTTACTTTTCCTACAAAGGCTACCGGCATTTTACACCTTTCGGAATTACTTTGGTAGGGATGTCCCATGGTCACGTTTTTGTTCTCGATTGTTAACCAGATCCGCAATCACGTGGAGATGGTCCTATGTGACACAAGAATTCATCAGACACGTGGGTCCAAGTGTGAGTGGACTGAAGAGAGTTGGGAGTAGTGCATATGACCTGCACAGTGACCTGCATGGATTTGATTTTGCATTGGTCGCAAAATCGCTGAAACCACCAGGACATTCTTTGATATTCTTTGCATGATCACCCCCAAACAAAGGCATGGCATATTCCATGATATTCCAAGACAAGTGACACCGGACCAGTGCTCCGGGTCACGTAGCGTGGTCACTGGTGTCAGTCTTCGGACATTCCCATGTTCGTTTGGCACATATCGTCCACCGCGGGGGCCGGCAGATCTCGAGGAAACTCCTGCTGTTCGTGTCCCTCACCCTCTCCACGTGCCTTGGATTCGTCACATTGGACACCTCGGCCGCGGGGAAACTGGATCTCACCAAGAACCTCTCAAAGATACCAGCGGGGTTGCACTTGTAGAGCAACGTAAGAAGTTTACGGTGTGTAGGTGCCGGAGAGCACTGGTTTGTATAGACCTGCAGTGGTAGTTGAACATGTTGGGTTATGCGGTTATGCCGGTTATACCTGATGCCCTTGAGTGAGTTACAAGCACCTTGATTTGTTAGACCCAGGCAGGCAACATGAGTTGTGACTCGACGTTTTGCACGTCGATCTCGAAGCTTCAAGATGCCACGGATGACGACCTCCTGTCCTCTCAAACCACTTTGTGTGTTTATATTTTTGTCAAGATACACGCTTTGTGACACTCTATGACACAGAGTCACAACAAATCAGAATGAAGAGACTTGCTCCTTCAGGAGGGTTGTACATCCGACCCGCAGTTGTTCCATGTTTCTCCTGTAATCGTATGTCCCGTTGTACATGTTGCTGTATTTTGTTTAACGACGTTAAAGATAACATCACCTGTACATGATGGGAACACCATGAATCCCGCTGCATTTGCCCCCAAACTGAAGACATGGAAGTTGCTACGACGTAACAGTAACCCCCAAGAGATGGTCGCTTGATCTGGTCCGTTCGCCTCATGTGGGGTCTTCCCCATGCACCCCAATCGAGCGTCCCAACCCTCAGGGTTAGTGCGCTCCTGCGTGGCTTGCCAGCAGCAGCTCTCAGCACCGATCGAGGAGGGTTCCGCGTCGCTTCGCGTGCGGGTGGAGTGACGCAACATGCGCCATGCGTGTTGGTTGAAACAATTGGAGGCTACAATTGGACAAATGTTTTATACCTCCATCCTCATGGTTTCCGTTTGCACCCAAAGATTCCGTGATTTGGGTTTGTGGGCCATGGGGTGATGAAAAGCGGGCATGCGCCAGCGGAGGAAGGTGTCTTTTCCACAGACCCAGCTTGGAAACGTTGGAAAGACCATGAAAGACCCAGTTTTTCCTCAGCAAGCATTGTATGTGCTAAACCATTTATTGAAGACAGCAAACATTTTCCCATTTTGGTTTGAGATGATTGTTCAGGAACTCTGAGTCAATGGCCTTGGGCTTATGGCGACTACATTTGCCTGCAGTAAACTTGGTCGCAGGGCAGGGCTGGTTGGTGTGAGAATTGTGTCCAATTTGAATTGAGTTGATCTGAATTTGTTAGGCAGCCTCGTGAATGGGACACTGTAAAGATTCACAGTCGGATTGAGGTGTCAGAGTCCCTTGTAAATTTGTGTTGCATATATATTGGTTAGATTATGTTAGATTTCATTTCATGGTTGCATTTTTCTACAGTTCAGTCACACTATGGTCCAACATGAATGAGACACACTGAGCATGACGGATGACGTTCTTTTGTTCTCTTCACAGCGATTTCACTGTGAAGTTCTTCACGTCACATCTATTGACTGGAACAGGTGGCAACAGGTCCTTTGGCGTTTGAACAAGGGGGTACTGACCTAAGAAGTGAGGGACTGACCCATTCTATATAATTTGGGGGATTAGTTGCATGAAGGGGGGGTATTTGGGGGTAAGTCAAGTGAGGACACTGACCCATTCTTGAAGAGACTTGACCCAGTGGCCCACCATGGCTCGCCAGCTGGCGGTGCTTCGCGCGGCACCGCACACCTTGAGGCAGGATAAATGCAATGGCCTTGAGGCAAGGTTTGCGAGTCAAACGGGATCCCCTCATCAGAGCGAACAAGCGGGTGTGTGTGGTGTATGGACTTTCGTATTCGCCTTTACTGCTCAAAAGATCTTGAATCTTTTGTACACATCAAAAGGTTGGTGGAACCTGCTAGCTTGCAGAGCAAGGCGTCGAATCCAGTGCATCCCTTACTGGAGCTTGGAGCTTGGCTCACCAGCATGACCCTGCAGAAGAGTCAGAGTGAGAAACCCACCCTCAACACGTCCTGGGCTGCTTACGGGCCACCCATGAAATCACCAACCATGATCACCAAAAGGCCACGGCCACGGCCACCCCAGACGAGCCATGATATCTTACGACCTTCTTCGGGGCTGCCCACGCAGAATCGACTTCAGACTGCGCCCCGTTCAGACAGCCACCTGTCACAGACCCTACCGTGCAAAGCGAAGCAGGCGAAGATCTACATTGGCTTGGAGTCGCTCCTCGTGGATTCGCGAAGCTTCAATATCTACAAGGCGAAGCGACCTTTTCAGCGTTCGATAGATGAGTTTGTATGTTGTTGTTGGCTTGCTGGTTGTCAATCATACAGAAAAGCTTTAGCTCAAGACTCACAGATTTCAAATTTGGCGCGCACCTTGTGACAGATTTGTTTCTGTGCGCTGGATGATGCTAGGTGTTTTCTCCCATGGTGTTGAAGTGCGGTGGTTGCAGACACAACCACAAAGATCACCTCGCAAATGAACTCCTAGAACCTTCAGATGTTGGAAAGATAGTTGGAGTCCGGAGCTGCTCGATGTTTTTTTCAGCTCGGGCGTTCACGGCGAACGCTGATATGTTCTCCATCAGCTGCGTTCCTTACTTAATCCCAAAAGCATGACCCAAGACGGGTCAAAGTTGTATTCCAGAAGGCCCCGACCAGGCTTTGACTTTCGGGTACGGCCCCTTTTCTCTAAACCGAGAAACCCACACACCAAAGAACCGAACGTCCAGCGGTTTGGGTTGGCTTCAGTGCTGCCGCCCTTCGGTCCAGGCCATCCCATGGGCAGCCGATGATTGCGTCGAGAACTTGGAGTCCCTGGGCGCTGGCAGCTACTGCGCCGTGTGTCGCGACGCCTCGCGAGGACGCGGCGGGTTCGGCTGCCGGCGGAGGGCTGCCAACCGCGAATGGGACGGGGGGGGTGACGGTTTGAGATGTTTGATCAGTGTATATCAGTTTAAGTTGTTGTTTGTTGTTAATTTGCAATGCTGCAATGGGCTTTTGGGTGACACCCTATTTTAAGAGCCATGGTCATGGAGACAGCACCAGACTTCGGGTGGGCTTTGGCAAGCGCGGCACGTGCCAGGCCAGCTGACTCTGGAAGCACCCACCCTTGATGGATGGGGGGCCAGATATACTGGCTTTTTTTCATCATGTTGGATGGCGTTGTTTACGTGTAAGAAAAAGATCCAAGCTGATTCTACAGACCTGTTTGGATCACCTCAAGATCAACATCCCCTTTGTAATCAAGATTGATTTTAACACTTTAATCAAGATCCAACCTCCTCCAACATTTGTAATCGAGATGAAACATGAGATTCCAGATGTTTCCAGTCATTTTGTGTGAGAGACAAATCCAGACCTCTTCGCTTCAGCGATCACCCCCTCCCTGGGCTGTACGTCCAACTCCGCTCTTCCTATCAGGCCCCCAGCAACTAACATTACCTACCCAGATTGTTCCTTTGCGTTCGAGGGCCCGCAAACAGAACACCATCCGTGGTGCGCAGACGGCTCAGTGAACTGACCTGCACCGTCGGCGCTGTGCCAGGATGTGCGGCGATGGCTTTCCTGTCCATCGCATGCAGCCTCTTCAACATTTGGGCCGACCTCCAACGCATGCGCGCGAGGAGCGTAGTTGCAGGGTATGCTTGTGATTTGCCGGGCGGTATGGATTTTACAGGCAGAAACGCCGTTTAGCACTCTTTGACACCTATGCGGAGGCATGATGAGGATTAGTTTCCTGCTCAATGTCAAATGAAATGTTGGTCGATTATCTTGGTGCATTGGTCGGCTAGCTGCTGGTCGGTTGCTGGTCGACCGAGCGATCCTGCTGTGGGCGAGAAGCTATTTAATTCTTGTTCCTAGTAGCTTATTGTTACTACTAGTAAGGCACTTGTTACTAGAAGCGATGCACTTGTTCCTAGTAGCTTATTGTTTCTATTTAATTTCACTGATTGTTCAGCCCGGGGAATGACGATGGGTTCTGCGCCAGGAACGACCACAATTGCATCAAGACCGTTGCTATTGCCACTTGGTCTTAGTCTTGCAGAGACGTCCAAAACAACATATAGATGGATGTTCTGGGTTGTGCGCCTGCATTCGTGCATTGAGTGCATATTGAGTACATCAACTGGACATTGGAATCCACCTCAGACCATCGGAACCTGGTTTTGGCCTTTCCGAATCCACTGGTTTTAGACCATTGGGCCGAATCCATGTCCTGAGCCTTACAAGATCGGCTTGGTCCAGAGCTCGGAGATTTGGAATTTATTCCACCCCAAGCCACACTGATCCAAGCTTGGTGCCCAAGGGGGCACCAGGCTCGGTGGTAGTGCGATATTGGCTCCAAACTCACCCGCCCACAGTCCCACAGTACTCGGCATACCCGACTCAACAGTAAGATCAGTACGTCATCCCATAAACGCGGAAGACACTTGTTGCTTTCTACCTTGTCACCCTCACCATGGAGGCAGAAAGAGCTGCTTTGCCACCTCTCAGCTTCCCTGTGGCTTCCAAGTTCCCTGAAGCATTTGTTCCGAGGTGAGCAACATCCTGGGTGCGTTGCAGCTGCTCTTGGCGGTGTCCATCTTCCAAGGCTTGTGCGTGGCAGAGTTCCCGCTGGAGGATGCGGATCAAACCTTTAGGAGCGGCGCGCCGGAGGATGCGTGGGAGGAGGCGGTGTTTGACCCAGTTTTGGGCCTTCCCATCCCCCTTGCTGCGGGTTCCGGGCGGATGGTTATGGGCTCATGCCGCTTTGGTAAGAAGAGGGTGGTCCCTTGATGGGAAAGCGACAGCGCCAAGATGTCGGACTGGCCAAAAGTAAGGGTAGACAGGTCGCCCAGGTAGTAAGGGCATGACTGAATGAGGCTGAATGAGGCAATCAAGGTAGAATTGGTCAGAGTAGGAGAGGTTCCAGCGTAGTTGATACAGTGTCATGCAGAAGTTTGGCCACCCCCTGCGACAGTAGGATTTGCATGATCTGAGCCGGAGCATCCAGGGATGGACACCACAATGGCAAAGACGACCTGCATGTTGCATGGAGCATCCTGCTCGCCGCCTCAAGTCATGACCTGTGACCGCGAGGAAAAAGCCCCGGAGCCCTACACTCCGTGAACCCTGGTATACCTTGACCGTTCCGTTGACCGACCCCCCTCAGGTCGTCCATGACCCGTTTGTTCCTGTGGTCCACCGGGGAGGTTCCCCCCGGTGCCATCACCCGACGAACCCGTGCGGAGACCGTGGTGGTTTCCACAGGATTGACCTGGTCATGGGTCGGGGAGGCGCCTTGATCGCCACCTGGCGGAGAAGGGAGGGTGGCCTTTTGGAATCGGCTTGGTTTATTTTGGTTTTCTGAGGTTTCCTTGGAAGGCCAGTTTTCCTCTACAAACCATGTTAGTTCCAGGGGGAGCAGACATCAACTATCATGATGCCCTTGTGGCGCCACTGCGCTCCAGTGGCGCCACTGTCATCGACCCAGGAAACATTTGACAGAGTGGGATTCCTAATGTAGCCATCCACAAGTCCATCAAACTTGCTGCAATTTGCTGCATTAGGCTCTAACTAAGATCCACTTTCATCAACCAAACAAGTATTGGTCGACCAACCGGATTTGGCTATGATGGCCACCAGGCTAGCGCTTGTTCCATCAACGTCTTCAACCTCGTAGTGCATTGGCTGATCCCTGTCCCAGAAGCCCGCTGGAACCCGAACGCAGGCTCGGGGTGAAGGGTTGACAAGCTAGTGTTGGAAGACTTAACCCTTTGCTACACATCACCGTAGTCAGATCACCACTGCTGATTCGATGCGTAGTCGATGCGAGTTGAAGTAGATTCAAGATTCAAGATGATTCGAGAATAGTCCGCCACCGTTGTTGCATTCTTCTTTTTGAAGACTTAATCCTGAAAACTTCGAATGTATCCAAATGTAATCAAATGTGGCTTGATTGAAGTAGAACCAACTGTGGTGCTTAAGTTCCGAACCTGGTTGAAGTTGGCTGTATTTAATCTCAAGATTCTCAAACATTTTTCTTCTCAGCCTACATGCATACAGCCCCCACCCCAAAAAGACAAGCAAACGCAAACAACAGCCCATGCCCATCGGTAGAACACTTGCGGCAGAAACCACCAGCCTTCATAAGCACTCATGTCATGCGTTCAGTTTCTATATACAGTAGTCCTAGTCGAGTCATCGTTCATTTCCGTTTCAAGTACCACGCCATCTGCGCCGCAGATGCCGAAGATGACCCGGCCGCAGACTTGTGGCAACAGAAGAGCATGTCCTCAGTGATGCCGGAGGCGCTGTCCTCCGTGATGCGCTTCGGCGCTTCCGCCGAAAAACCGCGGGTGGTGTATTAAGGGTATGATAGTGCTCTTCTTCCGTGCTTGGAAGAAGATGTCATACCACAAGCTGAAAGTGGGACACCAGCTTCTTAAAAGAATCCTCCAGCTCCAGGCTCTCTTTCAGTGCGGGCCTAGACTGTTGCAGACCGGTCCGGACCTGTCCCAAGAAATGCAATTGTCATTGTTTGTTACTATTATAGTATAGCTTTTGGTTACTATATGGCCAGGGTCGCCCCGTTCGAGTGCCGCGATGCTCCGTTTGGTACGAACAGGGCCGGCCGGGTGCCGTGAAGCGGGGCTGGACGGATGATCCCGCCAAGGCGCGGCACGGTGGGTGGGCGGCGTGGAGGTGGCAAAGACGTGGATCGCTATAGAGTCTCCAGTCTCTTAGAGAAGTAGCGCGGAAAGCGTGAGAGCCAACCAAATGCATTCTTAAGGCTCATTGTTTCCAGGTGCTCGGTTTTTGCTGCTCAGCTTTTAGCTTCTCCCGTGCCCAGGGAAGGCGCTCAACCAGCCGAGGCTACATGGTGGGGTGGTGAGTCCCACCACCTGAGTAAATTGAGAAGTGTACCCAAAACAAAGCTTTAGGATGCTTTAGGCATTTAGTATGCGCTTTACCACACTGCACTTTCATTTGGCATTGCATTGGGCAAAGCAAGCCGGGAAGGAAACGCGCACAAAAGAGGGGTAGGGGTCAGATCACTCCGACAGACTTGGACCGGCCTCGTTCGGACCCCTGGCCCCCCGTCCTGACGGAGTCAGATCAACCCGAATCGGGGTGTCAGACTTGTCCATGCTTCGTAGCGATGCCGCCCCTAGTTAGTAGCGTCCTTGAATGATCGGGATCTGAATAGCACCCCGGGTTTGATTCGCTCCAGAGCCTCTTGCGGTACTCTATGGTATTGTGAGATGGGCTTGGAGTTGTTGGGAGAAGGCAGTTGCTGGCGTCTAGGATTTCGCTGGCTTAGGGAGTTGAATTTCCACTGAATCATTTTCTATGTATATACGTAGCATTGGGGAATGTACACTACATGTTTGACTCATCCATCTCGACGAAACAAGAAACTTGGTCATGCTATGCCCAGCACTGCGCGGCTCAGTTGCTGGTCCCGATCCACAAGCCTGAGAAGAAGGAGGAGGCCCAAACGGCGAGAGGTGCGTGGTAAAATGCAGCATGGGACCCTACAATTACAAGAGTGTTTTGCCTTATAGTTATGGCATATTTGTGTGATTCTCTAGGGACGAACGGTTCACCACAAGAGATAAAGAGCAGGTTTCAGGCAATTTGTTTGACTTCAGGATCTGCTGGAAGACTTCCTGCGCAAAACACTGGCAGAGAGGCAATTCAATTATATATCATAGGGATAGTCAGGTATTCTTGAAAACATGAAGTATGGAACCGTGATGTGATGATTCTTGGTTGGAGTGGCACCACCCTAAGAGGCCGCAAAGTAGTCTCAGTCACAGTCCCAGTGGTTGATCCTTCTCAAAGACACTTCTTTTTTGTGGTTGCAGCTTGCGTGATCTGGTATTTGGATATTTTATAGCAGTTTGCCCGTCACAAAGATCCTAGCCTCTCTAACTGTTTCCCTTCAGAGGGGGCCTCTATGTGTTTGCACTCGTCCAGCTTCGCTCTGGTGGTTCGCTCTGGTCGGCAGGTCAAGGAGGAGCCCAGGCTTTCGGTCAATAGTGTCCCTCCCACCTGAGCGGCGATAGTGATCGCAGCTGATTGGTCGATGCCGTGCGCAGAGAAAGCGGGTGGGTACAGGAAATGCACACCTTGACGGGGTTTCTTAGGCTCCACGGAAATCAGATGTTCCAATCAATAACTAATTTGATAGACTTATACATGTCAAGGTAGGCTTAAAGACCCTCCTACAGGTCAACAGTGTGATGAGTTCACCCAGCAGTTAGGGGATTCCCCAATTTGACCAGTTTTGCGTTGCATATGGTCATTGTCTATTGTTGGTAGACTATGGACTGCCAACACATTCTTCTCATTCGACCTTTCATTCTTGGCGGCTAGCTCTGCAATTAGCAGCTTCAAGGTGCGAGCGACTTATAAACGACCTCACCGCTGGCGATGAGCATTGGAAGAAGCATTTGAACACATGAGCAATTGTCAACATTGCGCATGATTGCTTGCTGTAACTTTCTTTAACATCCAGTGTGGGCATAAGCATGTTGCTATTTTTCGGCCATGTATATAGCCGCATAGATTTGACAAGCTTCCGGCTTTCCATCCCAAATGTGTTTTCATGTCCATGCCTCACGATGCTTGTTTTCTAGCTTGCCGACGGGAGGGGCGAAGCTCCTATTACCCAGTGAATCCAGCCATGAAAAGCATTTGGCCAATGCATGTCATATTTATTTGAGACGCGTCTCCATGTTCATCCTGTAAGAACCACCACCTGAGAAGAGTAAGCCGAGTTGAGTCTAACTGGTTTTCCACATTGGCTTCTGCCTGACATGGTGATCCACTGGGAGATCAAGGCGCCTCTCGCGTGCCAGGCCTCTGGCCTGCCAAGGGGCAGCCGGGGCTGGTTGCGACGAACGAGAACACGAAGGACGGGTTTCACGAACGTTATGACCCAGTCTCCAGGCTGGCCCCTCCCCGGAAGAGTGAAGAGATTGGTGGAGTAGTCCAAGGTCAAGAGCTTTCAGGTTCAATATGATCAATATGTTGTGACGCGTCAAGCGATGCCAGCCCAAGCTAGCGAGCTTGGGCGGAGATGAATCTTTTAGAGGAAAGTAACGGTTCTCATGTTCTTTCAATGCCTTTAGGGTTTGCCCTGACTGTACCAGCTTGATCCCACATGATTACAAGAGGATGGTCCCATGGCATAGTTTTTGATGCTGTGAGCCAGAGGTGCTTGCTGTGAGCGTGAAGACGTGGATGCTACAGTATTTTTTTGATAAGCCGGCGCATTATATATACATGATAATTACCCTGCAGCTTCCATTGCCAACCTGAAGGCTAGGTTGACAGCAATTGCTTTGATTCCGTTCCACATTTATCTTTGGATCTTGCAGACTTGCTGAGGCATGTTCAACAGCACTCGGTTCGGAAGGGGGGGCCATTTGGAAGGCTTTGTAATGCTTTGCTCGGCAGCCATTCGGCAAATGCTGATGAGTTGCTTTCCCGTGTGCCACTGCACACCACAGCGGAGTCGGTAGGTCATGGTTGTTTTGGGCCAATGTCGATGTTTTTTTTTGTCCGCCTCCTCACTTGTTTTTTCATTTTTTGCCTCTATGCCTTATATATTGCGAAGAACTGTGCGATGGTCAACGGTCAACGGTCTCCCGGTTTCAACAGCAGAATGTTCCAGGCATGATGATGAGAACATGGTCACCTGTCTGGGTCCATTTTCCAACCCCTCCGCAAACTCAGTGGTGGGATAACAGCTGACACCCCTCCAAAGGAGGACCACGGACGCCCTGAACAGACACCGTGGGAGGGGGCCGACCGGGAGCCGAAGAGCGGGAGTCCCGGCGCTCGCGCCCCCGACCGGTGCAGGGGGGAAGGAGCGGTTTTGGGCGGTGGCGCAGTGAGAACTGCGACCTGCCAGGCGTTGGTGATGTCTTGAGAAGAAGGTCCAAGGTCTTGTGAGTATATAGTGCATACATAGTTATATAGTGTACTGTATATATAATATATATATATACAGGTGTGTGTGTGTGTGTGCGTATTATGTATTCGTGTAGAGTTAGCATAGTATTGACCAGCCTTCAAAGACCGTTAAAATGATAGTTGACCTGGTTTTGTAGTCCAAAAAAGGAGTATAGAACAATAGTTCTTTGGCAAAGACAGTAATAGAGTCATAAATATGTATATATATATATATATTAAGACAATGGTTGTTGGAATCCCACGGATATATAGACAAAGGAGTGAACACAAATTCTAGGGATAGACGGACCAATGAGGGCCGGGTCTGAGGCTTTTTTGGGTCGTAGACCGAGTGTGGCCCGTTTTGCAACCCAGTGTGACTCGCCACAATCTGCCGGGTGAACTCACATATAGGAGCCCCATGTAATGTGCGTAAGCGATTGGAGACAGCGAAAGAAACTACCGTACCGTACCCACTTGCTTCCAACAATGATGAGTGGGAATTGAGATTATGTTCACCACAATGGATTTTTTGGAGATTGGAGACTCTATTGCATTTTGAAGCCCGCTGTACTTGATAACATCGGAGACTGGCCAAACTGTTCCACCCTTTTGAACAGTGATGTCCTTTGTTTTCGGCTCAAGAGATAATAGGTTGATAGATTCCTGTGTGATTGATGGTTTCGGTGCCCACAATCCATCACTAGAGTCGAGGTGGATGCTGAAAGTACCCAGTTGCTCACCAAGATTGACTAAGCCAGCCAACAGCCTGGATATGATGGAACAAGGGGGCATACTATCATACGCTGTGCCATTTATTCGATGTGACCGAGATCCTTTATAACTAGCAAGCACATGCTTTTGTTTAAAAGCATGTTCAGGCTTTTAAGGGTCAAATGGCAATATATTGTCAGAGACCTTGCCAAACCGCTCCAACAGTTAACTTATGTGCCGAGTTTTGCTCCACTTTGGCGCTTTTTCCAGAAGTAAATCGAGGGGTTGTGCTCAGGATGGTCCAAGTGACATGACCTCAGTGCACCCGTCAAGCGATTAGCCACTGTATAGTGCTAGATGGTCAACATCGGCTTTGACCGACTCAAACCCAAATTGAGAACCCCAAAAGAACTGAGTCATCACCATTCACTAGGGGTTCGGGAAAGGGTTTAAGAGATGCTCACACTTAGTCCCTTCATTTCATGGAGGGTTTTTAAGGAGCACCTCCGTTGCAGCCTGACATGCACAAACAAGTTTCCGCTATTGGCCAGGGCATAGGCTGACCGGCCTAAGACTCAGCGCTCGAAGACTATCGTTAACTATGGGGAGTTGAGTTCTCGGGTTTTTAACTATGCGATCTACAGCACCAGTTGTTGCATTTTTTATACCAAGTTTGCTGGGAGGAATTCAAGACTAGAGTCCTTGGGCACGGCAGTGGAGACATGAACCATTTCTAGGGAGGCAACGTGATATCCGTAGAGCATGCGCAGACACAGATCGGCTTGCAATTTGCAGAGTTTGGTTCGTCGTCAAGCCTGGTTCGTTCTCCACCTCGGTGCCTGGCACCCTATCAAGCTACGCCGATGCAAGTCCAACAAAAGAACCGCCCAAAAAAGCCGTAGTCAGGCCAACCGTTGGCAACAAGCTCCAAATATATATATATATATATACGTCCATAAATCACGGCGGGCCAAGCCTGTGACCAACTCATCCTCAACTTTTCGCTTTGCGGGAATGTACAGCTGAAGTTCATCGTTTGCCAGGTGGGGCTCTAAGCATGCACCGGCCCGCGTGTGTCAATCATTGTTAATCTAATCTCCGCCCGTTGGCGGGCTGGCGGATAGAGTCATGCGTCATGCAGAAACCTTTTGGACGGGCAGGACCATCATCAACCCAATTTTGTGAATTGTAAAGCAAAGTGCAGCTTGGATTGGTAACGTGGCAGTAATTCCCCAATTTGTTGGAGGGACATTGTTTCCGGAAAGTTGTTTTTTCTCGACTGGTTCAGGCCATGTGTGTCACTCATCGCTGGATTTCCCATCTTGGTTCACCGGGGTGTGGTCATTTATGTTTGCTGGTTGGGACGTGTAGATGTAGCCTTGAGTTAAATCCTCTCGTTGTTCTCGCCCAATAGCTAACACGCGGACTAGCCCGGCTGAAGATGTGGCTTCGTCCCAGAACGAGCGAGAAGATGCGAAGCCAAGGGAATCTCGAGCGACCAAGCGACCTACGGAGCTTGGCGTCCTTCGTCGCAGTCCATATCGAGCTTGGCCTTGGAACGACCTTTCGCCTGAAAAACACCTTAAAAAGATTTAAAAAGAGCGCGCCAAGCGCGGCCTCCGGTCTCCCATTAACCAATCTAGGCCATTTGTGTGTGTGTGAGAGTTGGCATTCACCACGACTCGGATCATCGTTGATTCCAATGAAGGTACTGTACAATGTCCCATCCATGTTTTCCACACCTTCCTTGTCGTTGCGGCCGAGGAAATCAACTTGAAATATGCTAATGACGAGCCCAGACGGTGGCCTGGCCTGAATTGAGTTTGATGAACTGGATGAGAGTGGTTAGCTCCCCACGTTTACTTTTTTGGGGAGCATATTATATAATAGTGTTCATCCCAATCCCAACCAAGAGACCGACCTGCTATACCTTACTGGCTGGATTGCTGGTTGAGGTCACCTTCTAGGTCATCGCCGTGATGTAGACCTAGCCTTGCACCATTTTGCATATGATTTTGTTGTTTGGTGCCAAAAAAAGAGGGGGAAAAGGGGAAGAAAAGGGTTGATCAAGGGGTGTTTTTTGATAAAGGGGAATAGTTAAATGTCCCAAAAGGCCCCCCCCAACTCCCACGGAGTTTCGCGTGGACGCGGGGTTTACCCCCTGAGGTTGGCGGAGCTGCGGCGCTTCGCAGAGTCCCAAGCCTACGTGGCTTGGTCACGGTGCCGGGGATTCTTGGGGGATAGACAGAACACAAGCAGACCACAAAACACAAGCAATAACTTTGCGACTCTGGATGTTTTATCATGTTGACTTGGATTTGGGTGCTAGTAGTATACAGTAGGCAGGCAACTGGCTAGACTCTATAGACCCAAAGCTGGAAAGACAATTCAACATAGTTTGAAGTTCAAGATGAAGCCCCAGGTCTGGATTCGCAAGAGTGTCAGGTTGGGGACATGATTTTCGGGACATATGGCTGACACCATTGGTCCATTTGGCCGCCATGGACAAAACCTTTGAAATCATTTGAAATTACCAGACCTACCAGGTTGGACCATCCCACATCGCAACACCTGGGTTCACCAAGGCCGCGCGGCTTTTGGGCTTTGAGGGTGCCTTGCCCGATTCGGGGGTTCTTAGACCGACCGGGGGTGGTGAGACCGACCGTCCGGGATGGTCCTGAGATGTGGTGAGTGACCCCACGAGTGCTTTTGATAGATGTTCATGATCTTTCTTTTGCCACTCTCGCAATGAGATGGTTTTCGAATGTTCGTGCTCGTTGATGGATGCTGAGGAAATACAGATGTGTACATGTGGCTGTTGTTGGGTACCTCTAATTTTAGCTTTGGCCTATCAGGTATGGCTAAATTGGTTAGCCAAAAAGAGGTTGGGTACATTTTTGTTTAGCCATGGGCCCCTGTGTGCAACAAATGGGGTTGCGTCCAAAAGTTTATGGCTAAACACGCTAAACAGCGTCCCCCCTGTTTTATCCATAGGTCTTCGGACCCAACCCCATATCGTGTAGAGAGCAGAGGATCAATATCAATATTTGCATGGTGCCATGGGATGACAGCAACATGGATACGTAAAAAGCTCCTTTTGGGGTTTGGCGCTGAGGGGAAGATGTCGCCGGCGATTTTTGGCATGACACCAACTATTCCTCAGTCAGGCAGTTCCCTGAACCATCCCTCCCTGGAATCGGCGAAAAGGGACTCGGGCCTTTGCACATGAGCGCCTTCTTTGTTTAGAGGCGAACCGGTTTGTCAACGGGTGCCCCAAATTCCACCCAAAACGGGCAGAGATCCGAAAACCCGATTCCATCGACCCCAAAGGGTCAGATGGAACCAAAACGAACGGTTTCTTTTCTGCCGGACCGTTCGGGGGGCCAGGCGTTGATCTGAGCGGCTCAGAAAATGGACCTGGTAAGGCCAACAAAAGCAGGTGGTCATCAAACCCATAATGGCAAAAGGCAGAGGTTGCTTCAACGTGGAAGCAACTCGATGCAACCAGCTGGCTGAGACATTGGGAGGCAAAAAGAAATGGTTTTGGGACCCTAAGAGGGTGGATTCCAGACATTCCTTAAGCCTTAGTGATCAAAACACCTCCCTCCTGATGCTGGTGCTACGCCGCTTAAGCGACCTGCAAACGGTCACTTGACCTGTTTCTTCAGTAAGGGGAAGCAGAAAACACCGCAAAAAGAACCTCAACAAATCTCAAAAGAGATCTTTGTATAGCAGGTCTTGCATTGTCCCATGAGTCCCTTTTCACCAGATTCTGAGCCGCCACCTGACGGAAGTCCTGTGCTTGGTGACTTTATCGATTCACTCACTGCCATGGCCTTCCTGCGCCGCTTCACGGCCCTGGCCGGAACTGCGCTGGTGGTGCATTGGCGGCCGCGGTGGGCAGGCCAGGCTGGAAAACAGCCGAACGGTGGTATCTCGCCTTGCATCGAGTGCAAACACCTTAATGCTGTTTGCATGGGGATGCATGGGGTACGATATACCCGGGAGAGGCTGAGAGAGATGATGATGTGACAACAGAATTGGGCACACTGAGAACAAAGGTTCGCCACGCTTTTGCTTCAGTAAATGTGAGAGTTCCATCACTTCAGGCGCTCCGTCATTTTCCATAGAATTTCCTACTTCTGCAAACTTGACCAACTTGCTCAATGAGCACCACATGTGCCCAGCAGCGGCTTTCTGAAGAGTGAATAGAGCAGTTCGTCGAGGGTTTGAATTGTCGTTCTCTCTAAGTTACTAAGGCTTGCATTTTGGTTCCGATCATATCTCCGGCCCCCTGTGGACCCAGCTACAGACTGCAAACTCCTGTCCCAGATATATAACGCGAGCGAGCCGAGCTCGATCTTTGGACGACACTCATGGCCAAAGGTGGAGCCTCCTGCGGCTTTGCACACCTGGCGCGGCCTCACTTCGGCGCTGCTCAGGCGCGAGCTCAGGCGGGAGCCTCGTGTCGCTATTTATTTTCCCGTGTGGACATGTGGACATCAGCGCTTTGGTTGCCCAAGATTAGGACCAGAAGGGCGATTGGAACACAAGAATTCGCGCAGATCAATGAACAGATGAATGTTCGTGGACAAATGCAGCATGACAAAGGCCCAGCTTGGATATGCAGATCTTCTTTCTATGCTCCGATGATCCATGATTGACCCGGTCAAAAAGGTTGCACTGCACTGGGCGGCTTTGGTGAGCTGTGGTTGGTTGGCTTGTTGGTGAGGATGCTGAGTGACAGGATTGGATGTCCTGCGCTTGAGCCTCAAGTGACAGAAGGTGGATTATGTGGGCACAATGGCACAATGTGGATAGTTGATACTGGAATTCCTGACAGATGGTTGGACCTGACATATCTTCGCAATATGTTGCTTCTTGGCGCGATCCGGATATTGTTACATTTGTTGGCCTGTGAGTAGATCCAGATGTGCCTGGACCCTCCAAGGGGTGCCCAATGGAAGCCTACATAGGTAGTGTGGGGTAGTCCATTGGACACCCTGACGTCCAGGCAGAGAGACGTTTTGGGTCCCACAGGATGTTGTGCGTCTCGTTGGACTCCACTCTTTTCTCACCCGCAGGCCGCCGGCAAGGTGCCTCGAGCAGCAAAAGCCAAGGCCGTTGCTTTTTAATCTTTTTCTTCTGGTCCGTCAGGGGTTCGTTTTGAACATGAATTGAGAACGCGTCTTAGCGAGTGCATGCTTTTTCAGAGCAGGCCAGCACCAAACACACATCATATCACATCCTAAACTCTAGACTCTAAACATTGATTGTTCAAAACACAATGATTTGTTCTTGAAGCCCTTTTTGCTATGGATGGACCAGTTTACTTAGTCCACACATGTTTGGCTTGCAACATCATCTTCAAGTGCAGACCAAGACTAAACATTGGTCATCCTGCGTCACCGACTCACTAACCTGTACTGGTATTGCTGAATCACTCCCATGGCAAGGATTGACATACCTCCAGAAGTTCAGCTACCATTGAGAACATCAACATGTCATTGATACTGAAGTCTAAATGTTTGGACTGGCCCGAGGTAGTGCCAGAGATAGTGCGAAGAATGGCCTTTCAGCAAAAATAATTTTTGATCAACCACCATATATGGACCAAAGATGGATTGTCAATGTGTACTCCCAACAGGGATTTGCAGGCCATTTGTCGGCAGTGTTTGCTGAAGTGTGCATCTATTTTTGGATTCCAAGGGTTCCCGTTCAAGGCCTAGTCCTAGTTGCTGTGACCCGAAGCATCCAGAAAACATATATGATATATATATATATATATTTATAACATATATACAGCAAGCTTCAGGAAGTCAAGTGAACTCAGGGAACGGTTCTGTGATTCCAGGGGAGTGCAGGATCAGATCGAGAGAAACATCGGAGGCACCGCGACTCCACCGCCACTCGAGCACCGCGACCCGCACGGCCGCAGGGCTTTGGGAAACGGCCGACCAAGACAGCACCTCCGAAGCTGATCACGCCCAAAGGCCGGTGGGCGGAGATGGTTTCTAATTATTGGGGCAGCCCGAGTCTTTTTCTGCCCCATACATGTGATGTGAACATATGTGAACATATGTGAACAATGAGTAAATCAAGAGGAATGCCTCAAAGAGCACCAGTAGACTTTTGGTGACCATCAATCGGATTGGCTGATCAACATGTCCAAGACATTTTTTCAAGCATCGTGGGTCAACATGTTCCCATTCTTTTCTGAGCAGTTGAGCGAGGAGCTCACAAAGCCGACCTCGCCCCCTTGGTTCCAATTCCTTGTGACGCAGCTATTGTGCCCTCATGAGCCAGCTATTTGTGGTTTGTTTTCAAGTTCTCCGTAACGAGTGACATAAAGAGACTTTGAGGCTTTGAGGCAAATACTTGACTTATTATATAGTAACAAGGGCATCGCTACTAGTAACAAGGGCAGCACCACTAGTAACAAGATGTAACAAGAAGCTACTCGTAACAATATTGTTTTCTTGGTGAATTTGTTTCAACCTGATACTTCGCTCTCCATGCCTCGCTCTCCGCCGCGGCGACCCCCTTCGACAGTCTTCCACCGGAGCGGAGAACAGGCTGCCGCTCGGTGATGGTGACTGGAACTGACGGAGGCTCTTGGCAGGTCTGGCGGGCAATGGGTTTGAGATGGTTTGAGCGAAAGCACCCGTATGGCATGGCAGTTTGTGTTGGGGGTGTATTTTGGATTGATCATGCTCGAACGAATTGACATGGAAGCTGGGGCACCAGTTCCGAGCAACAACACATAAAAAAACATTATATAAACAACATTGTCATCATTAACAAATGCTCTAGTCCCGGACTATCCACAACTTCTTGAACATTCTTTCCTTTCCAGGTCATGTCACTTTAGAACCTGGAACAGCCTGGAACCACTGGCGTGGCAGGTCTTGATTGGGAAGAGTGCCGCGGAGAACGACCGCTTGTCCTTGGAACATGGTCAGAAACACGAGGCAGGCCCGGTTGTTTCATTCGTTTTTGAGTGGTTCGGGGTGGTCGTGTGGCCACCCGCCCATAAAGCAGAGAATTGACATGACATTCACTATGAATCATGAATACTATGCAGAGAGTTATGCAGATCCATGTAGTAACATGTAATTTGTGCTGACAATTGTTGAACTCTTAGCACTCGAAACGGTTCCCAGGTATGGATGCACGCGGCCTCCGTGCCGGGCTCGCACGTGGTGGTGCGGGCCACTGAGTCATGGCAGGAGTTGCTCGACTGTCCCAGTGACCAACGTGGATCGTATCCATCAGGTTCCAGGTTTGATACTGCAAGGGGACCCCCCGTGGGTTCCAGAATCCATGGAGCCACCGGAATCAGGAATCCTTAGGGAGGCGGTCAATTGGTGTTTTGTTTTTTTTCAAGTCACAGGTTGGCCATGTGGGGGGTCCGATGCCGATCGGTCTACGAAAGAACAAGATGGAAAAGGACTGGATGGAGTTTATATACCCCTTCCCATACCCAGTATGAAATTAGGGGGTCCTCCTATAAAACGGTTTCATACATATGGAAATATGAATCCACAGGGGGATGAGTTTATCATCGTAATTTTGTGCCTTCGAATCTGCAAGAGTTGAAGCCATGTGCACGTGCCGGGCAGTGCCAGTGCCATGTGTTTTGTGCAAATCATATCTCTCGTTGAGGTGCTGATTTCGACTTGGACTCCAAGCTGGGACATGTTAGCAGCAAGTTGGGGATCTTGAAGATAATGTGTAGGAAAACAACAAGGTGCTGTCGAAGGTGTTGTGTTGGGAACAAATATGGAGGTGACTGGCAGTGACTGGACCAATATTTATTTACGATATTTGTTTGGCTTACCGATGACCTATCCAAGTTTTCGTTGGTTTTTTGGACAAATCATTGCTCCCAGTCCCTGCCTGTCAGTGCATCGTTCTGAGTCCAAGCAGCAGGCCCTCGACCCGTGATGTCCAGACATTTCAACACCTGTTGCAAGTCGATCAATCCTGTGTGTCCCAGCTCCACGATCTCAATGAGTAAGTTCAATCTGGTGGTCTCAATGGTTCTCCCTCCATGTCACGCACGCAGGGTGTAACAATTGGCCTTCCAAAACTTTTGGCTTATCTATTGTTTTAGGCCAGAGCACAGAGTCAACCAGAACCGGGTCTCACTCAGTTGCCCACGGAGTCAACGAATGCTGTTGCCACAAGAACTACGGATCTACCACTTTACATGGGAAGCATGAGCAAATGTTGGCAGATTTGCCTCTCATGAGACATATAATTAACTTACATAGCTCTTTGGGGAACCTGCGTTGAGTGCCTTCAGACATGTTTCGCCCCAGGTGTTTCCAAATCTGAAGCGTGCCAAAGGTTTGCGGGTTGAAGTCTTAGACTTCTAGACAGTCTTGTGGTTTGGGATCACCCCGCCATTGGCCAAGGGCCTCGCAACCTCCCAGGGAGCCTTGGTGTGACAGGGGTGGAGGGAGTTGTTGGAAGGGTACACTTCATCAGAAATTCAAAACTGAAGACAAACACATATATATATATATATTCTGTGTCGATGGCACCACGGGCGTTCTGCAGAAAATTAAGATAAAAGCAGAAGGAAAGCTGAGAGATAAACAGAGAAGGAGATGGGGCCATTGCCAAGCGAGTTTGCAAAGTGCATCAATTACTTGCACTGGAGCCTAATCGATCTCGAGCTGTGGGCAACGGACTTTAGAAACTACAACTGCGGCAGTTGTGGGAAGTCAGAAGAGTTTGAAGCTTGTAGGCAGCAGCAAGCAGCAACAGATGTGCAAAGCTGAAGGCCGACCGCACCCAAGACCATGCCCAAAGAAATCTTTGCATCCTCACTTTTCTCACGTCAACTTGTGACTGCGACATGCTATGTCATTCATTTGCGACTAGTAGCTCCTGGCATTACTACTAGGAAAAAGAAGCTATATATACTACTGTAGGGGCTCCTGGCATCGCTACGAACGGAGCAAGGACGCTACGAACGTAGCCTGGTAGAACTGCCCATCTCCAAACCCGCCCGGGCCAACCGCGCCACCGGCTCGGCCGGGCCAGCACTCAGGATGTGGTCCAAACGGCCGCCGAGCTGTGCGCCTTCTATTCCAAGGCCAAGAGTTCTCCCCAGGCACCGCACCCGGTGAACTCGCAAGTCGTGGGGCGATTTCGGCAGTTCGGGAAGCCTGACATAGACAGACCCCCAATTGATCAGCATTCATCAACGAATGGTGTGTTTCTTAGGAAAAGCACATACATGGGGATGATGGGATGTTGTGGCGGCCAGGGTGTCAGATTACTATGAGTAGTTCTAGTTACTAGTTCTATCTAGTTCTGATTTCTATTTTAGAAATTTTAGCATTTTACAGCTCCTACTGAGAAAAGATTTCAGAATCTCTACAGACCCCGGCGCAAAAAATGAGATCGACCAGGTCGAGGTGCACATCACCACCTGTGGCCAAGTGAGCAAGTTGCCTGGCGCGCCTGCGGGGCAAGTTCTGCTGCGAGGGCGCTGGCGGTCAGCCACTGGGCAGGGCGCCTGTGGCGGAGCACCTGACGCAGGGACACACCTGACTGAGCTTGTTTCAGACCCAAAGGATTGTCAGGCATCCAAGACTCCAGACCATCCATTAAATGATACAATAAGAACAAATACCAGTATATAGGAATAACAATATGTGTATATATATATGGACTTCCAGGTGGAAGCGGATCCTTTCCAATGAGGAAGTGGGGTCCATATGCTTATTATATATATATATATACAATGAATGTGCAAACTTGGTAATATGTTTATTGGAAAGCCTCGGACACATTGATTATATTTGGCAGTAAGTCGCTGTGTTCAGCTCTTGACAACCATGACTCGGGTCATTGATCGATTCATGTCGCATCCGGACTTGAATTGAAGTGGACAATCATGGCAGGAAAAGCCCATTCTCCGGGTCACTCACTCAAGAGGGCCGATTCTGCATTGACTTAGCGTTGGATCCAACGATAGGGGTGTCACCAAAAACTCGAACATTTAGATGAGATCTTGAGGAGACCCTGGTCAGCATACAACATGAGATGTAGATATGTAGAGCTGCAGGCAATCAGGAGTCTTCTGCCACATCTACACACTGCAGGCATACATGGACACTCAGGTCATGAACCATTCATAATGGTCCATTACGGTATACCGTCACCTTTGGATCTAGAAACCCACATTAGGTCCAAATTACCCGAGCTACTCAACTCGGGGGTAGATGTCCAAATGATGTCCAAATTTGCATAGACAACAGATTTCAATACCGATATGAATCTGAGATCATTTGAGCCATATATTTGCCAATGCCTATGTCAAAGACCAAACATCCAAATTCATCAGATCCATTTCCCCATGTCGTTTCCAAACCACACCCGTTGTGTCAACAACTCTGAATCCTTCGTTTCTCCCCCGAACAGCGTGGGACGGTCCGTGGACGGTCCGACCATCCGACCGCTCCCCCAGGTGAAGGTCACACCACGTGGCCCTGAGGGCCTGGCATGACACGCCGGCCGTTCTCCATTGCGGGACCGGGAGAGGGGAAAAAAGACAACGCGTTTTCTTCGGTGGTTCGGGTGGGTGGATTGGACAGGGAGCACTTGAGATGCACCCCTCAATGTAGGCTCAACCATGCCGCGATGTTCAATCTCTCCTTTCTTTCCTTGATGTGCCTGAATTCGTCGCTGGGAAGAAACATGTTGGTTGAGGTCTGGGGCGAATCCTTTTATGATTGGTCGATCTGACGATCTAGGAGTTGTCTCTGATTGTCCAACCAGCACAGCAGTGCTGCTTTCCAAGCTGAGCGCCAGCGTTGGCCGTGGAAAGGGCCCGTGTCGCGATCCGAGGCGGCAAAGGCAAAGGTGGCCGGGGGTCACAGGCGCCCCGTGGGACTGGTGGAGTGGAACGCTGGTATCATATGTTTGCATAGTTACATACATACATACATACATACATACATACATACATACACTGCAGCTATGCATTCATATTTGCTTTTAAGATGTAGAGATATGCATGGTGAATGGTGACATCCATATATACTGTACCGTACTTACGCTGTTGCAGGTTCTTTGCCCCTGTTGCTGGAAACCTTCCCCCAGCATCTCTCGTCACTTCCCATTTGCAGCCATTCTCAAGCAGATAGAATATTTGCGCGTTTCAGACGCGGCGCGTGCTCACGAAGTGGACATCAACAATCCATTAATGTTAGGCATTGAGGCTCAAGCCCTCTCCTACGGGTTGGCATGCCTGTCACCAGGGGAATGGCCCCGGGTGCGAGTTGGGCCACGCCATGGAGAAATCCTGATCGAGCTGTTGTCAACCTAGCACCAGAGCCATCGTGTACACGCTTGCTACAAAACACCAAGGTACAAGCTTTCTCGGTTCGCACCTTTAAGGTCCTAGTGGAGTGTCACGACTTCACCCTGATCGAGGTAGCGTCCAAGGATGGCATGTCGAGTCGCATCATGAAGATCCAGCCGCATACCCTGCAACGCCTAATCATTGACCGACCAGATCATTGGTTCGTGGCTTTGCTGCCTACAGTCTGCGGTATGACAGGGGTTGCAGTGTGGGATAAGGTGGATGAAGGCAAGCAGGAAGATCCAACCCCAGTGACAGTGAACATGGACATGGCTGGTGTAATACTAGCCTTTGCGGCCGTGGTTGTAACGCAAGCAGACGACCTACTGGAAAGCGAAGACTTTCTACTACATTTTCAATGTCTGGCATGGACATTGTGGGCTGTGTACCTAGGAGCATCATTCTCCGATATCAAGAGTATCCATAGAAATTGCACTGCCAGGAAGTACGAAGCATCCTCGATCTGCACGCCTTGGAGGCGAAATATGCTGAAGCATTGGGTGCACAAGGGACCTGCACAACCAAGGCATACTCGCCATTGGAAAAGTGAACCAGTGCAAGAATGCCGTTCGAGTGATCCCCTGAATTTCAAGAAACGAAAAGATGAGGTAGAGCCCAGCAATGAATCACCTCCTTTTGAAGAGATGTCCCCGAGTACTCGTGCAAAAGCAGCACCTATGCCGCTTGAAACATCCCTACCCTGTTCCCCTGAGTCCTTGCATGGACAAGAAAAATATCAAGATAGGGCAGGGAGAAATGAACCGCCCTCAAGTTCAGACGGCCTCCCACGATCCAGTGGAGAAGACGGGACAGGGAGCAATGAACCGTCCCCGCCAGGCGATCTGAATACTGACCGCAGCTGTTTTGCCGACATAGATGCCTTTATGCAATCCAAGCTCGAAGTAAGACATCAGATCTCAGCAGGAGGTGCGCCTACATGGACAAGTTGCAGGACTGCCTCGCTCCATGCGAATGCGACACTAGGCCAGAGGATTCAGTTTATGCATGAGACGCAGGGTTGGCTAGCCACAGATGAAATGTCGCACATCGTCCTCCGCATGTCTCGACCCGGGTCTGCATACACATTCCTCCCGACGGCACAATATCTGCCCATACTGGATGTTTTTCAGTTCGAAAGTGACCAATGCTACATCCCTAATTATGGAATAACGCTGATTCCAGTGCTGTTCGGATCCCACTGACTGGGTATCGAGGTGGATAGACAACATGACCGACCAGAAGTATGCATTCTGCAAGCACCATCCGCTCTTCACAATCGAGTCATCTTCCTAGTGTGCCACATGCTGCAAATACCAGCCCATAGGCTCCACATAACCTTTGGCCTCGAGCAGATGATCCCAGATATGTGCGGTTGGTCCTTGGCATACCGCTGGGTCGTACTTACACACACACAAGGGGCATTCAACGATGTACTTCACAGGATGGCGTCCTTGTCAGACCTCAACCGAAGAATTGTACACAGAAGTTTGCAGAGATCGCTAGATGCCTGGAGTGAAACCTCGGCTTCACATGATCTACAGCAAGTAGCATACACATTCCGAATGTCCTTTTTGATCAACCTCTTACAGTTCGACTCAGGCATACATGCCAGATTGGACAGTATCGCCATTTATGCATCAGGGCAGCCACTGGAAGTGTTTAGAACGGTGCCAAGCATGAGCACATCTCACACCCAAACCGATTCGTCCGAACTTCATGACACCGATCATACCAGTCGCGCATCAACCCATGAAGTAGCTGTTCAGAGCAGCTCTCCTGATGATGAAACTGAGACATCTGGTGGCCCACACAATGAGACCACCATGTACCAAGAAGTTTTGCCTGGGCAAGAGAGAGAACAGCGGACGCTCCCGGTCCAAACCGCCATCTCGCTAGAACCGAGGCCAAGGGTAAGCCTTCGAGCAATTGATTTTACTACAGATGCTGTCATGCAGAGATTGGACGCCTACACGATAGCACCTGCACAAGCGGCATCAGATGAGCTAGATTTTGTCTTGGAATTCTACCGTCACCTAGTCACACACATCACAATTGTGCCTTGCAGTATGTGGGTAGTTGACCAACACATCATGCACATCATAGGCGAGGCTGGGGTTAACTGGGAGCAAGACGGAACCTTCATGATTCCAATGTTGAGCCACGACCATTGGTACCTAGTACAACTTCGTCGGCAGGGCAACCAGACCTTTGTCTCAACATTCGGGTTCCCAGCAGATGACCCTCAGTCTTTTACGGGTTTCTTGCACGCTCTGGCCAGGTTTGCACACTTCGATCTGCAGCATCTTAGAGCTCATCGGGTGCAGCGTCCCAGTCCCTGGCGCATGTGTGGTTTTGCAGTCCTCCAAGATGTCCTTCGAGCATGCGGCGTTGCAGACACCATCCATTGCAGTGACGCAATCCATGGCCTTAGCCGTTTCGCCGAAGTTGTGCAGATACCCTATATCTTCACAAGCGCATATGAGGCATGGTCAACAGTCACACAGGATGAAGAGCTTCTTCGTATAGCCTTTGCCACACGAGTCCTGTACATTGAACATATCCTAATGCACGGGCCCGCACTGACGTTCCAATGTGGAAACGGACTCGAAGATCTATGGTACCCAGGAATGAAATTGCCGCCACTGTCACATCATGCACAACAAGAGATATGCAACTTTGCCAGGACACATACACCGGTAGATGCACTGTGCGCATGCCATACTAAAGCATTTTCTGCACAAATCAAACTGAATCAGTACGTGCAAGACTGGTACGAGTTTGCACTAGTCTCATGCCAGGTGATGGCCCCATCCAGAGGCTTTCAAGCTAACATCGGAGATATGGACTGTTCCTGGCCCCCGTGTGCACACAAGCGGTCGAGCTTCACATTTGCAGCACTTCCCAAACACGTATGGGACAACACGGGACCGGAGGCCATTATGTTTGTCATTGAAGCGAGATTGATTTGGATCGACGGTAGAAGTATCATTGATTTGAGAACACCACAGTCAGGAATCATGCCAGTACATCCGCAAGCAACTTCGGGTGACACTATTCGGGTGGGTGAAGTATTCGCAGGAGGTTTTTCTGGCTGGTCATATGCACTGAAAGGACTTAAGGATTCCCACTTGCCAGTACAGCACGTCTACTCAGTAGAACATGATGCCATTATTGCCAAGAACCATGCTAGGAACCATGCTGCGCAACCACCGATACACTCAGTTGAACAAGCGCTGCAACTTAAGTCCATTTCCAGTCAACCAGAGTGCCCAATGACAATTACTGCAAAAGTCGAACAAAGTTGGTGGTTCGAGCTTGTACCGCCAATCGAGATCATGACAGCTTCCCCCCCGTGTCAACCTTGGAGCAGAGCCGGAAAAGAGAGGGGCTTAGAATCACCGGACGGTAGATTGTTATTGTACACAATGATCCAGTGCATTTACCTCCGTCCTGCTGTGATTTGCCTGGAGGAAGTCGCAACCCTTCTCACACACCAACACGTTCGCTGGTTCCTGGCGGTGCTGCAGTGGGCAGGGTACAAAGTAGAGTGGGCCGAAAGTTTGAACTTGTTGGACGTTCTGCCACATTCTCGTTCCAGACTGATGGTCGTTGCTGTCCGTGTAGGAGATGAAAGAGTGGAACGCATGATGTGTGCCAGGTGGAACAAACTGCCAACAACACCCACTATGAGTAGCATCCTACTTCCAGATGAGGACATTAGCCACCAGTTTACCACGGTCCATACTGCAGAAGACTTCGACAAATACTTCAAGTACAGCTATCTCCCTAAGCAAACTGGGACCACACCGACCCATGTTCGCCAATGTCGCGTAAAGTCTCGACACGATTTTCACCCGTGCATCATGGCCAACTACGGGTATTCCCACGAACTACCCGATGAGACCCTCAGAGCAGGTGGTTTGCTAGGAGCATACGTTCTACACAATGGACGTCTCCGACTTTTGTCGATTACTGAAACTGTCTTCCTCTTCGGGTGTTCACACAAGTGCGTCCTTCCATCAGATGCCAGGGTTGCATACCACATTATGGGTAACGCGGTGTCAGTTCCCCATGCTATGCTGTGCCTCCTAAACGGGATAGCGCAACTAGCAAGTGTGACGTGGTCCAAGGTACCAACGTGGCTTGTCGAGGACTTGCTAGCCAGTCGTTTTACCAATCA